GCCTTGATCGCAGTCAGGAACTCACTAGCCGTGCGATTCTGAGTGAAGTGAGTCTCCTCAGACTCTTGGAGGAGGCTGCTGAGTGCGATCTAGGCCACATCGTCACGCGACTTCCACGCTGTCAGGGCAGCACGTTGGCGTGTATAGCAGTCTTTGTCGGCAGAGGAGGCGTCAGCGCCTAAGGGTGCAGGATCGGGGGGCGCAGGAAGGTCACCGGAAGCGTGCGCCCACAGAGACTCGTCTGCCTGATCCTGACTCTCTAGGTGGCACTATGCACGCAGGAGCCACACAGCGAATTCCAGCGGCCTACCCTCGGCATCAAAACGTAGAACCCTAGGTGTTGCCATGGTGGCTGCGGTAGGGTGTAACGGGCACGAGGGTACGGGTTCGAGAGGGCGCTCGGGCGCCTAGGGAAGGGCACCTAGAGACGGGCGCCTAGGGACGAGCGCCTAGGGACGGGTGCCTAGGGACGGGCGCAGCGCGACGGACGCGACGGGACGCGAGCGACAGACGGGACGAGGGCGACGGAACGGGCGCGACGCGGGCGTCGGGCTCTAGGGTATGGGACGGGCTCGACGGTAGGACGCTACAGGTGGTAGGAGGAACGAGACCCAACAGGATCCTAACCTAGGTGATACCATGTCAGAAACAGAATGATGCATTAACTATGGTTGGTTGGGGTACATAAACCTAACCCTAACTGTTGTACCCCATATGACACACATCACTAAAGGCTACAACATTTGACAGAGGCTGGTAAAAAATATATATCAGAGGTTGGCGAGACGTTTCCTTTCTTGTCTGTTGTCGAATGATGGCAGAGAAAGTTGATAGACAAAAAATATTTGGCGGTCCAGTTGCCTTGTACCGTAATCTCCCGGCAAGAAGACCCCCCCGCATACAAGCCCCATAGGTCTTCTATCCAGACTAGGGGTCTTTTATTGTGTCATTCCTGGAGAGGACCCGTCTTTTGACCCTATTTAATTAAAGACCCCCCCCCCCCCCCCCCCCCTCTTTTGCAACATGCTATAATGAGTGGTGTTTAGTTCATGCGCTGGTTAGCGAGTCACACAAAAAAATACCAAATTCACTTTGTCAGGCAAATTTGTGCTGAAGAGAGTCAATATGTCACATCAATCACACGTTTTTGCCGCCCTTCAGGAAAGAAGTGCTGACGTGCCTGTCATTATTGGGGATTACAGTACGTGCAAATAGGAATCAGCGAGACTCGAGTGCGATAATTTGAGAACAAATTTCCGCGCTGTGAAGGAATCCAAAATTCAATACAGAAATTCTCGATTTTCTTCAACACAGCACTACACAATTCTTTTTTTTTTTTTTGTAATTAATAGATGTCCAGGGGTTTTTCGTACTATTTGCCATCACAGAAGACCCCATTGTTGAATAGAAGGAGTAGGGCCTAGGCTTAGTAGCCTAGGCCAAAGGGAGTCGAGAAAATTGTTGCAAGAAGAAGTGGTTGAACTAGCAAGCAAGTGGATCCACATAGGAAACCCTAAGGGGCCGTACTCACTATAGAGTACCCCACTGCAGGCTAGACAAACTACACATTCTGACACCCATAACCCATTTTTGGCACATTTGGGATAAGACCCCCGGGTCTTCTAACCGGGAGATGACGGTACTCTCTTCCAATGTTGTGCCAAATCTGTCTTGCTTTCCAGGTTCCAGCTTGAGAGTCGACTTGTGCTAAGTCTGGCCATGATGACTTCCTTGGAGTAACTAAATGTTTTGTGCTTAAAACCAGTTTAAAACAGGCCCTACGATATCAGGATTTTTTTCCTGAAATTCCTGATTTTCAGGGATTTTTTTGTACCTACCCTGATTTTCCAGTGTTCAGCTTTTTGTGGGGCTGAATTTTCAGCCTTTTCCTGCCAGATGACTCTGAACTTTCAGGTTTATTCTGTTTTAGGACACTGATTCCACTACGTTGTACCGAAACTGACTGAATGCGATTCCTACACGTTCCGAGTGTAGTTGCCCGGAATTACAGGGTATCTCATATTCCCGTGGTGTCAGCAGTGCCTGGCGGTGACTACGAGACAAATTCTGCTCCATGCTTTCCATCCGCGGGGGGTTGCCTCGCGTTCCGGCCTGGTGTACCAGGAGGCAGTCAGCCGCGCAGTTGAGTAAAAACAGCATATTTTCTTAGGGAACACTGATGCTTTAGGGTTTTTTTTTTAAGTGACACTGATTTTTCAGGGTTTTTTTTCTAGGGGACACTGTCAATCAGGGATTTCACGCTAAGGGACCCTGATCCATCTACGTCCCTCAAAGTGAATCTGAGGGCCTGGTTTAAAACCTGGGAACAGATCTTCACAAGAGACGAACCAATGTTATCTGTTTGATCACAAAATGGTGTCGAAATCAAGCACTTGATGAGTAGACCCAGAACATGTGTTCAGATTTTGAAGCTCATAGATGTTAGCTTGACATTGCATTAGTTTAGGAGCCATGGTGGAGAGCTTAGTGCGAGAAAAAACTTATGCAAACTTATCCTCGTTTCAAGTCTCACTTCCATTGGTTGTACTGTCGACCAAAACAGTCAAATCAGCTTTTAGCAGATCTGACTCACCCCAAGGAAAAGTCAAGACGCATGCGATTGGCTGGCGGGTCAGATAAGGTAAGGACGATCTTGCCACGCCGACCGTACACACCATTTCAGCCGAACCTAGCAACGTTCGATGTGGAGGGTTTGGAAAACCGAGCCTATCACAAAAAGCTCACGCGTTGTAACACAAGCGGCACCCCGAACGCGTCGTCAGCTCTGGTTGCCGAAGCGGTATCTTTCCCAGCCAAGTGTTCAGCCTTGTTCCGAAGCCGCGGGGCTTGGCTGGCTGGTTGACCCATGTGGCGATGGGACTCTGCAAGGTACAGATGTTCTCGTTTCTAGTCAGACGGTAAAACACGCCGCGCGCGGACCGTGTGGCAAATTTTCAATAATCCCAGGCAAACGGGACTATAGCCCGAGAAAACTAGAGAGATTGCATGGAAAACATTGAAAATGTAAACGTTTTAAATGCTCGTGCTATCAATGCTACAATGGAACCGCGCTTGTTTAAAATTCATATGGCATGCTTCTCGGCGCTGGTCATCGTCAGGTGACCAGCGGGCCGGAAAAAAACATAAAACCTTGTTGTTTGTTGCCTTCTTTGACGAGGTTTAAGTTTTTTTCCCGGCCGGTCAGCAAGCTTCATCCAACGGCATCGTCGAGCGCGGTGGGAACCGCGTGATAGGAGGAAGAAACTAACGCGATCAATATAAGCACGAAACGATGGTGTAATATACTGGTGATATGTAACAACCCTCCTATCTTGGTAAATTCCGAGCAAGCTGGTCTGGTTCAATTCGAGTGCTCCGATTGGCTGTAGCGAAATTTCCCGCCAAAAATGGGACTATAGAGAAGAGGATACACCTAGGACTCATCGGAAAATTTTACTCAGGAAGAAAAGGGGACTTTGGAGATTGAGGCCTCTAAACGAGAACAACTGTATTGACACCATGGCTGTCGGAATGCCCGAATAATTTCTGTGGCAGCCTCTGCTGCTCCCGCTTCTTCTTGACTGTTTGTGATCACCGAAGCATATCATCACAACCCGTCTTACAGACTTCCAGGCTTCATTCTTCAGAACCAGATTACTTCCCACCATCCTCCGAGCTTTCCGACTTTCCCCATTCCCATTAGCTGTTTTTATTCCTATCGATGGCTA